GGTTTTATGTTGTCGCGTTTGACCAAAATTATTATGTCTTTAAAAATTAATTATCAACAGATTAAACTTCATTTAAAAGAAGGAGAAATTGCTGTTTTTAGTCATCGTGTTTTACTTTATTTAATTCGTCATCGAGAAATGACACGTAACGAAGCCTATAAAATTGTACAAAGAAATGCACAAAAAGCGATTGCCCAAAAGAAGGATTTTCGAAAACTCATGCAAAAAGAAAAAGAACTTACTTGAATGAAATCAAAGGATTGAAAAAATATTTGAAATTGAGAGAGTTTTTTACAAAATATTGATCAGCTTTATCAACATATTTTCAAAGATTTTCGCAAGAATAAATAAATTATATGAGTTTGGGCAAAATAATTTTTTCCGAACAACAGGTTCAAGCCGCAATTACTCGTTACGCTAATTATTTAAATACAAAATATATCAATAAAAAGTTAGTTTTAATCGGAGTATTAAACGGAGCCGTTTTTTTTTGTGTCAATTTAGCGCAACAATTAAAAATTAATGTTCAAATTGATTTTGTGGCCGTTTCATCATACAAAGGAACAAAACAAAATGATCATGCTCAATTTTACAAAAATATCAAAATTAATCTCAAAAATAAACACATTCTCGTTTTAGAAGATATCATAAGTACCGGCAAAACATTAAAAATGGTTGAAACATTCATACTTTCTCAATCTCCGGCAAGTTTAAGTTTTTGTAGTTTGCTGAAATTGACCGATGTGTCGCAAGTTCAATTAGCAAATACCAATACTTTATTTACAGTTGCGGCTCATGGACGTTGATTTGTCGGATGCGGACTTGATTTAAATGAAAAATATCGTAATTTACCCAACATTCATGTTCTGAAACAAAACGAATAATCTTTACAATTTGAGTTTTTTATGTTAAATTACTCTTAACCGAAGAGAGCGACGGTGATGGTTCACTTAATTTGTTGCCGAGGTGATGATAAGAATCTTTTTATCCGCCGAATTCGGCGGATTTTTTGTATTATGGTGAGCAAAAACAGAAAAATTAAAAGCGATAAAATTCATTCCATGCAGGAAGGATTAAAAGATGCACAAACTTTCGTTTTGCTTCATTACAGTCAGTTAACTGTTCAAAAAACAGAAAAATTACGCAAATCCATTCATGAAATTGGTGGTAAGGTTTCAATTTATAAAAACACTCTTTTAAAGTTAGCATTAAATAAAACTCCGTTGATGAATCTTCAGTCTTACTTAAGAGGACCAATCATGGTAATTCATAGTCCAACAAAATCTCTGAATTTACTCAAAACAATTTGAAAATTTACTCATCAACACAAATCACTGTCAATGATTGCTGGCTACTTTGATCATTCAACGTTAGATACTCAATCTTTGGAAGAATTAGCCAATTTGCCAACTCGAGAAGAATCATTGGGTCACTTTGTGAGTCTTTTGTCCACGGGATTAAGTAATTTGATTATTCTTTTACAATCCAAAGAAAAAAGAATATCAACCGAATCCGTTTGTAGTAATATATAATGTCTATAATAAAAAATGTAAGAAAGGAAAGAAAAATATATGGAACTTAATCTATTTATTGTTATTGTCATTGTATTAATCAGCATTTTAGTCTGAATCTTTGGAATGTGACTAGTTGCATCGGGAGTAAAAAAGAATTCCATGGTAAGAATTATTCTTGGTATGATTTTTTCCGGTATTGTTTGGGGGTTAATAGTTTATATAATTGCCACTCGTCAAGTAGATCGAAGAAACAGACATCGATAGAATCATAAAATTTTGAACATCATAAATTTAATATAACAGAAAGGAAAAATTAAATGAGTCAAGAAATTAAAAAAGATACGGAAAAAAAAGCATCATCAAGTCATAATGATAAAAATGAGCAAAAAGCTCAAGAAGTTAAGAAAGCAAAAATTGAATCCTCGGGTTCGGAAACTCAAACAACAAAAAAGTCTTCCGAGAAAGTAGTGAATAAAAAATTTGAAAAATTAATTCATGAAATTGAAAAAATGACAATTAAAGAATTAAATGAATTTGTACAAACGGTGCAAAATTATTTTGACATTAAACCATTAGTTTCATCGGTGGCCAGTACAAATGGCGAAAGCAAAGCTTTGGATAAAGCTTCGGTAATTCTTACCGAAATCGGACAAAGCAAAATTTCGGTGATTAAAGTTTTAGCATCAATTAGCGGAAAAGGGTTAATTGAAGCAAAACAAATTTTAGAAAAATTACCGGCAACCATCGCGGCGGACAAGCCAATGAGTGAAGCCGAAAATATCAAATCTCAGTTGGAATCGGCAGGAGCAGTTATTGAATTAAAATAGTTTTTTAGTCAGAGATGAAAAAGACAAAATCGGTGCCGATTACTCTACAATTTGTAAATACTTTTTGCATCACTTGCGAAAAGACACATCATATTCAAACAACATTAAAAAAAGATTTTAAAATTGATGCCTGTTCCAACTGTCATCCTTTTTACATCGGAACTCAAAAATTTGAATCGAAAGCCGGACGAATGGAGAGATTTCGGCAATTAGAAAAAAAATCAGCGGCCTTACAAAAAGCCAAAACTCAAAAATCATCATTAAAAAAAGGAAAATCCAAAAATAAAAGTTAATTTAACTATAATAAGGAAAAAATAAAATGTATAACAAAGTAGTTTTAGTTGGAAGAATTGCAAATGATTTGGAATTGAAACAAACCGAAAACGGTCGTGTTTATGTTCGTTTTTCTCTCGCCGTCAACAATGTTTATAATAAGACGGTTGATTTTATTTCCGTTATTGTGTGAGGCCAAACCGCGCAAAACATTCATAATTATTTAAAAAAAGGTTCTCAAATTTTAGTGGACGGTTCTATTCAAGTGCGAATCGTTGGTCCGGAAAATAATCGAAAAACTTACTACAATATAAACGCTAATCGAGTTGTTTTTCTGGAAACTAAACCTTCGGAAACCAAAACGGCTAATGTTTCAACAGCGAGTGAAAATACTGATTTTAATTCGAATTCATCTGTTTCCTCGACCGATTTACCGTCGACGGCGAAAAAATCAGAAAGTGCCCCCGTTTCTTCATCTTCATCCGACTCTTCGTCCAAAAAATCAGATTCATCGAAAGACAACGACGATATTTATTGAGAGGAATAATTCAAATTGACCAATAAAAAATCTTTTTCTCGCTCTCGCAAAAAATATCGTAGTTTTAAGAAAAAAGTTTGTTATTTTACTAAAAATCAAATTACCTACATTGATTACAAAAATGTTGATTTACTCTCTCGTTTTATTTCTAAGTCCGGCAGTATTTTGCCTCGTTCCGTCACCGCGACCAAACCATCACAACAAAGAGCTTTATCGCTCGCCATTCGGCGGGCTCGTTATTTAGCCTGAATGAAATACACACAATAAAGTTAAAAATAATTGAGTTTTTATTTTTTTCAGTTTTGCAAGGTTTCTAAAGCGATTTTAAATAAAACATCGCACTTAACAATTTGATCTCTAAAATTTGTATTTTTTATTTTTTTGTTTTCGTGATTAATCACTAAATCCACCGTGAGTAAAATGGTTGCCGCAAAACGCCCACAGCGATTTGCTTCTCGTCATAAAGCTCATGATTCCATACTAACCACACCGCATTTTTTGTTTTTTCAGGCCGATTCGGCGACCTTTAAATCACTGTAAAAGAAATTCGTCGTTTGAACTCGATGATTTTTTACCGGAATGTTTAATTTTTGAGCCGTTTTATTTAATAATTCATATAATTCTAAATTTGGAGTATTGATTTTTTCTTTATCCTTTGGATCTTCGGTTTGTTCTCGAAAATTTCCCGTTTTTCATGTATCTCGAGGAATAACAACATCATAAATATTAATGTTCGGATGATATCCACCGCATGTTCCGGTACGAATAATAACTTCGACTCCGTAATGATTAAATAATTCATGAGCATAAATAGCAATTGATGGCATGCCCATGCCACTTGTAGCAAAGGTAACATATAAATTTTTATAGTATCCACTATATACAAGAGCTCCGCGAATTTTACTTATTAATTTTACTTTTTGTAAAAATTTGTTCGCCATATATTGTGTGCGTTCCGGATTTCCGGAAATAAGAACATACTTCGATATTTCTCCCGGCTTTGCCTCTAAATGTCTCGACATAATTTTTATTTTTTTCTTTTCTTTCAATTTACAAATGTTTCCAAGCCTATTTTTCATAATAAATCGGTCTTTTGAACTCGTTCATCAAAGGTTGTATCTTGTATTTTTTTGGTTTCGCGATTATAAATTAAATCACTTACCATCAAAAGAGCAGCACTATGTTTATTCAATTGTGAACTCACTCCTCAAAGTCCCACTAATTCCATTTCCACAATTTCACATCCATATTTTTTTCAAACTGTGGCAAAGTGTGTTGGATTTGTATAAAACATATCCGTAGAATGCACTTTCGCATTTTTGATTTTTATTCCCATTAATTTGGCAGTTTGATTAATTAATTCGTATAGTTGAAGGGAAGGTTTACGACTTTGTGTTAAATTTCATTGTGAGCTTTGTAAATTGTTTTGAGTTCATAATTGATGGGGATTATAAATATCAAAAATTTGTGTATTCTTGCCATATCCACCGGTAGTTCCAATTCGTATAATAGCTTCTACTTTATAATCATTGTACAATTCTCAAGCATAAGTGCTCATTGACGTTGCTCCCATGCCACTCGTCGCAAAACTGAATCGTATTTCCTTATAAAAACCGGTATAAATTAATGCTCCACGATTTGTGGAAACTAATTTGACTTTTTCTAAAAATTTTTGAGCGGCTCGAGTTGTTCTGCGCGGATCCCCTGCCATTAAGACATATTTAGCAATTTGATCGGGAGACGCATTTAAGTGTCTTGACATTGAAAAACATATATTTTAACACATTGATTACGAACTTTGAATTCAAGAAGAAAATTAATTTAAGGTTAAAATAAAATTTAATTTATATGTTTAATCGAGTTCGTACACGTTTCGCTCCTTCGCCAACGGGGCATTTACATTTAGGGGGAGCCCGCACCGCTCTTTATTGTTATTTATTCGCTCAACATTACAAAGGAAAATTTGTAGTTCGTTTTGAGGACACCGATCGCCAGCGGCATCAATCACAGATTGAGAGTAAATTGTTATCACAACTACGATGACTCGGTTTGCAAATTGATGAAAGTGTTGATATCGGCGGTCCATACGAACCCTATCGCCAATCTGATCGTTTACCAATTTATCAAAAAATTGCTCGTCAATTAGTCCAAACAAAAAAAGCATATTATTGTTTTTGTACTCGTGAAGAATTAGCAAAAGAAAAAAAACAGCAACTTTTATCCGGTCAAAAAGCTCCTCAGTATAGTAAAAAATGTCTTCAATTGAAAGCAAGCAAAATTCAAGAAAAATTAAAAAATAAGATTTCCTATTGCATTCGTTTAGAAGTTCAACCCGAACAGAAAATTATTTTTAACGATTTAGTTTATGGCGAAGTTTTTTTTGAAACGACTTATATTGAAGATTTTATTTTAATCAAAACGGACTTATTTCCCACTTATAATTTTGCCGTTATCGTCGATGATCATTTGATGGAGATTTCTCATATATTAAGAGGTTCCGATCACTTGTCAAATACTCCTAAACAAATTTTGCTTTATCAGGCTTTAGAATGAAATATTCCCACCTTTGCTCATTTAACTCTGTTAAAAACTTTAGATACGGCAAAAATGTCCAAGCGTCTTTTTATTTCAAAGCATTATTTAGATTATTATGCAAAAAATGGATATTTACCCCAGGCTTTAGCAAATTATTTAGCTCTTTTAGGATGATGCCCGGACTTAAATCGGGAAATTTTTTCTCTTTCGGAATTGATTTCGCGTTTTAACGGAAGAGATCTCAATAAAGCCGCCAGTACATTTGATTGAGGTAAATTAAATTGAGTGAATCAACAACATTTACGCAAATTAGAATTGTCAACATTTTTAGTTGAAGCCAAGAAATATACACATGAATTTCAACAAAAATATCAAATTTCCGATGCTAAATTAATTCAAATGATTACTTCAGCTCGCGGGGCCATTCGTTATTTTGGAGAAACCAGTCGTGTTTTATCTTTCTATACCGAACATCAGATTGACTATTCTCAAGAACTTTTAATTTTATTGAAAACTCAAAAAAAGATATTAACTTGTTGTTATGAAATTTTTTCTCAGTTAACTCTCTGAAACGAACAAACCTTATTTGAAAGTTTTTTTCAAATTGCTCACAAAACAGAAACATCTCAAAAAAAACTTTCTCGTTTATTAGAACGAGCTTTAGTTGGTCATAAATCTCGTATTAGACTCAAATATTTACTTCTGTTTAAAGGGCAAAAAGCTATTTTATACATCTTAAACTCATTATTAAAAAGAATTTAATTATCTTTTTTACTCTCGAGTGAACTTTGTTAAAATAATTAAAACTTTTATTTTTATGATCACGGTTTATGATGCTGTTTATCAAAAATTTATTATTGATGAACCAATTATTGAAGCAATTATTTATACTCCTGAATTTCAAAGATTAAAAAATATTAATCAATTAGGAGTTTTACCTTTTGTTCGTCCTTCCACTCAGCACACTCGTTATTCGCATTCTGTGGGAGTTTATTTTTTGCTGCATAAACTTCTGCAACGTTCTATTTTTAATCATTTATCCAAAAGAGAAAAATTGGAAATTGAAATTGCGGGATTATTACACGATATTGGCCATGGTCCTTTTTCTCATAGTTTTGAATTAATTTTTTCTAAGTTTAAACACGAACAAATGTCAACAAAAATTATTCGAAATTCCCAAGGTAAGATTTTAACTTTGTTAAAAAAACACAAATTAAATGTTCAACGAATTTGTGATTTAATTTTGAGTCAGGCTAAAAATGATTGAGCGCAAAGTTTGATTTCCTGTCAATTTGATTTTGATCGTTTAGATTATTTAATTCGAGATTCTCATTTTATTGGATGAAATCTCAATTTGGGAGATGTTAATTTTTTAATTGATGGCATTTGTTTAATCGACAATCGTATTGTTTTTACGAATGCTTCGCTTTTATATGTGGAAAATTATTTAATTTTTCGATTTTATATTTATAAAAGATTATTTTGAGATCAAAAAAGTTTGTTAGTAGAAGGAATCTATCGAAACATTTTTCAAAGAATTGTTGATTTATATCAAATCAATCCCGAACAATTTAATTATCATCAAGAATTTCGATTTTTGTTAAAAAATCAATTTCCTTCTCTTTCGCAATTTCTTGAACTTGATGATCAGGAAATGCTAATGTGAATTCGTAAAACTTATGTTCATACAAAAGATAAAATTTTACATAATCTCATTCGAGTGCTTTTATATGCTCCGGCTCCATATAATGATTTATTTTCTGAAGATAAAAATACTATTGTTCAGTTTTCTCCCACAGAAAAAAAATATTTTACCTTTCGTTCCAATCAAAAAATTATTATTTATTCCACGAAAGAGAAGGAAATTATGTTTTTGAATAAAGACAATAAAATTGTGCCCATGAGTAAAATTTCTCAATTTATTAACACGAATAAAATTTATAAAAGAGAATATTTGCTATACTTAAAAAGTTAGATTTTATTTTCATCTATTTGTGTTAAAAAAGAGATAACAAACTAAAACATGCAAAATAAATTGGAAATTGCGATTATTGGTGCCGGTCCGGCGGGAGTGACGGCGGCAATTTATGCCAAACGAGCGAATTGAAAACCGATTTTATTTACCAAAGAACAAGTCGGCGGAAAAATTTGAAAAACTATGTTGATTGAAAATTTTCCCGGCATTGCTACTATTGATGGACCGCGATTAGCTCAAAAATTTATTCATCAAGTTGATTATTTAAATATTCCCGTGAAACATGAAGAGATTCAATTTTTGACTTATTCCGTTCAAACTCAAGCCATTCAAATTCGGACGGCCCAAAAACAGTATTCTTTTTCGCATGTCATTATTGCCACCGGTTGCCGCGAACGAAAATTAAATATTCCTTCCGTCGTTCAGTATGAAGGCCTCGGTGTTTCTTATTGTTCCAGCTGTGATGGGTATTTTTTTAAAGATCAAGTTGTGGCAGTCATCGGTGCGGGAACAACCGCCTTTGAAGAAACTTTAGTTTTGGCGACCATCGCCAAGAAAGTATACATTTTAAATCAAAATGCCAAAGTAACCGCCCAGCCGATTTTAATTGATCGGATTGCAAAATTAAAAAATGTCGAAATCATTAATCATGTAACCCTACAAACCGCCCTCGGCAAAAAATCATTGGAAAAATTAGTTTTATTTAATTCTCAAACTCAAAAAACTCAAACTTTAATTGTCTCGGGGTTATTTATTTTTATTGGCAGTTTACCCAATCATCACTTTTTGGATTCACAATTAAACTTAACCAACAAAGATGGTTTTATTGAAACGAATTCTCAGTTTGCAACCAAAATTCCTGGCCTATATGCGGTTGGTGATATTGTCGCGAATAGTTTACAACAATATACCACCGCAATGTCATCCGCAACAACGGCGATACACAGTATAATTGGTTCGCAAAAATAAAAAAAAATAAAAAAAATAATATTTAAAAAAATTTTTTTCTTCCGAAAAAATAAGGGCAAAATATGTTTGTAATTTCGCTTCGCTTCTTTTTTTATTTTTTATGCTAAAATCGAGGCAAATAGAAAATTTAACTTTAATAGAAAGGAAAATATTATGAAAAAATCTATAAATGTTTTTAGTGAGTATGGAAAACTCAAAACTGTACTCTTACATCGTCCGGGAAAGGAATTTTCGAATTTAACTCCCGATTTATTGGAGCGATTGTTATTTGACGAGACGCCTTTTTTGAAAGTAGCTCGCCAAGAGCATGATTATTTTGCAAAACTTTTGCATGATAACGGAGTTGAAGTTCTCTATATCGAAACTCTTCTCGCCGAAACGATTGATATGAACGAAAAATTAAAAGAAGAATTCGTTCAAAAATTTCTCGACGAAGGAAAGGTTAATCCGGCTCATCGTGATGCTTTGTATCAATATTTCACCAATATGAACACTCAAGATATGGTAAATAGTATGATTGCCGGAGTGGAAACTCGCGACATTGGAGTCAAAAATAAGAATAGTTATCCATTTGCGATTGATCCCCTGCCGAACACTGTATTTCAACGAGACCCTTTTGCCTCGGCGGGAATTGGAGTTACTCTTCATCGCATGTTTTCCGAAACTCGACGCAGAGAAACTCTTTTCTGTCATTATGTTTTACATCATCATCCGCGATTTGCGAATCAAATCAAATTTTATTACCATCGAGATGAAGACACAAATCTCGAAGGAGGTGATGTAATGGTGTTAAATAAAGAAACTCTCGTGATTGGAAAAAGTCAACGAACCGAACTTAAGTCCATCGAAAAAGTAGCCAAAAGAGTTTTGCATGATGCCGACACATCGTTTAAAAAAGTTTACTGCTTAGATTTACCTGAAAGTCGGGCATTTATGCATTTAGACACAGTGTTTACAAGTATTGATTTCAATAAATTTATTGTTCATCCTTTAATTTTTGATTTCAAAGATCAATTTAAGGTGTGAGAAATCACAGTCGAAGGAAAGAAACTTACTGATCATAATTTAGAAACTCTTTTCACCGAAATTAATGGTTCTCAACCAACCTTTATTCGTTGCGGTGGAGATTCTCCGATTACTCAGGCACAAGAGCAATGAAACGACGGAACAAATGTTCTCGCAATTGCTCCCGGAAAAGTCATTGCCTATGACCGAAATCCGGTTACCGTTTCTCTTTTGAAAAAAGCGGGTGTAGAAGTGCTTGAGATGCCGAGTTCCGAGTTATCTCGCGGACGAGGTGGACCACGATGCATGTCAATGCCGATTGTGCGAGAAGACATCTAGGAGAAAGAGTTAGTTTATTATGATAAATTTACGAGGTCGACACTTTCTTAAATTGTTAGACTTTACTCCCCAAGAAATTGCATACTTGATTGATCTTTCATTAAATTTGAAGAAAAGCAAGTATGCAGGCACAGAAGTACCGAGAATGAAAGGGAAAAACTTTGTTTTACTTTTTCAAAAAGATTCTACTCGAACACGTTCTGCTTTTGAAGTTGGAGCTCATGATCAAGGCGCGACTACTACTTATATGGGACCCTCGGGTTCTCAATTTGCCTATAAAGAATCAGTCGCGGATAGTGCTCGAGTCTTAGGAGCAATTTATGACGGAATTGAATTTCGTGGTTTTAAACAAACTACCGTTGAAGAATTGGCCAAATATGCGGGCGTACCCGTATGAAATGGATTAACCGATGAATTTCATCCAACACAAATTCTGGCGGACTTGCTCACCGTACGAGAAATTAAAAAAACTCTCAAAGGATTGCGACTCGCTTTTTACGGAGATGGTAAAAACAATATGGCCGCATCCTTAATGATTGGTTGTGTGATGATGGGAATGCACTTTGTTTGTGTCGCTCCCGAAGGTATGTATCCAGAACACAAAATTGTTCAACAAGCTCAAAAAATAGCTCAAACTACCGGAGGAACAATTACTTTTATGGCCGATCCTTTGAAAGGAGCAAAGAATGTTGATATCATTTATACCGATGTTTGAGTTTCCATGGGAGAGCCGGATGAGGTTTGAAAAGATCGCATCAGTAAATTAAAGAAATATCAAGTTTCCATGGAAATTATGAAAGCAACCGGTAAAGTTGAACCAATGTTTTTACATTGTTTACCTGCTTTTCATAATAATCAAACGATTGTGGCGAAAAAAATTGAAAAAAAATTCGGAATTACCGAAATGGAAGTTACGGATGAAGTTTTTGAGTCCAAGTATTCGCATGTTTTTCAACAAGCGGAAAATCGGCTTCACACCATTAAAGCGATAATGGTGGCGACAGCCGGCAATTAATTATGAAAAAAGAAAGGAAAGAAAGATGAAGTCATTAAAAAGTTTTTGATCAAAAATGCGTTTACCACATGCGTTAACGTTATTATTTTTGATCGTAATTATTATGGGAGTAATCAGTTTGATTCTCTCATATGCTGGAGTATTATCGGGTGATGAAACTACAATTTATCAGGAAATCCCGAAAGACCTTGAAGGAAACTACATACTGCCTTATACAGCTGGTAGTTATGTCGACGAAGGAGGTAAACTGTTTGTGTTAAGCGATGCCGGCGAAAAAATAGAAACAGGTAAGGAGGCTGTGCCGATTATCGGAGCAGGTCTTCTTGATTGATTTACTGCAATTCCTGCAGGAATCTGAAATGCTATTTGAGTTATCATTTTCCTCTTTGTTTTAGGAGGTTTCATTAATGTGGTTGTTAAATCACAGTCTCTTGAAGCTTTGATTGGAAAAGTTTCTCGTTATTTCCCGAAAGAGTTTAAGAAAATTTCTTCTAATGTGCGAGCCAAAAGTGTTATACACTATTATTTCGCTCTCATTAAAGAAGGATTGCGTCAAACTTGAGTTATTATTCCGTTAATGTTATTTTTCTCGTTCGCGGGAACATCCTACGGAATGGCCGAAGAATCATTGGCTTTCTATGGAATTATTATTCCATTAGCATTAGCCGCTGGTTTTGATACATGAACTGGCTTTCTCATCATTTTCGTCGGTGCTGGAGTTGGTGTTATGGGATCAACCATTAATCCATTTTCAACATTGACAGCCGTATCATCGGTTGCCGGTACGGAAGAATTGACGCGAGCCCAAGCCATTGGTGGAGAAGCATGACGATGAGTAGCATGAGTATTCTTTACAATTGTTACTATTGTTTTCGTGATGATTTATGCGGCCCGGGTCAAAATGAATAAAAACAATTCAGCAATGAAAGATTTGTTTGAAGTTCATGAAAAAATGTTTACGGGAGCACATGCGGAAACAGCCCCTCCTCTCACCAAACGAAGATTAATTACCTCAATTATTTTTCTCTTCACATTTGTAGTGATGGTGTTAGGAATGCTTGCCTACGACAGCATTATTGATCCAGAAAATATGTATGATGGACCGTTATCTACTCTTGAATACGGAACATTTTCAAACAACAAAGCCGTTAGTTGATTGCACAACAGTGATGTTACACAATCGATGGTAGCTCACGAAGCTTGAGTTCTAGATTGAACTTTTGGATATTTTTATCTTGGAACATTAGCTGCTTATTTCTTCATGATTTCTTTGATTATTGCTTTCATTAATTGAAAGAGTGAAAAGAATTATGTTGAAGAAATGGTAGAAGGTGCAAAAGATATGATGGGAGTAGCTCTCGCTGTTGGAATTGCTCGAGGAGTAACAGTGATTTTAAAATCAACGAATATGGAAATTTTATTCTCAAAAGGAATTGCGAATGCGATTTCCGGTGTACAAACCGGTGAAGGATTCTTAGTTCCAATTTTGAGTTATATTCTCTTTATTCCATTAACGTTCATTATTCCGTCAACTTCGGGACTTGCTTCCGCGACTTTCCCAATTTTGGGACCCGCGATTCATGAGGCTGGAAAGACGGAGTTAATTTCCGAAACAATTACTGCCTATGCATGAGGAGCAGGATTAGCGAATATGGTAGTTCCTACATATGGAGTCGTAATTGGAGCATTAGCGGTAACTAAAATTCCATTCGAAAAGTTTGTTCGAGGAATTTGAAAGTATCTGCTCTTAATGTTCGGGGTCGGATTAGTGATGATTGTTCTTGGAGCCGCAGTCGCGACTTCAAATTCAAATATTTTCTAATTTAATTTTTTTTATAAATTAGAACTTTCACAAACATGCTCCCACCTGTAAAAGGGTGGGAGTTTGTTTAAGTAAATAATTAAATTTCAATGAATAGTTTTTCTCCATACTTGCAGATTCGACAATTAATTCAAAAAGTTTTATTCACTTTGAATTGAAATAAAGTTTCTGTATTTTCTGTCCAAATAAATCGAAATTTATCTCAAGGAGAATTTAATAGCAATATCGCGAAAATTATTTCCGCTAAGTATAATTTACCTCTCTCCGAAGTAACGCAAAAACTCCAATCAGCACTGTATACCCAGAGTGATTTATTTGAAAAAATTGAAATTCACGATGGTTATTTAAACTTTTTTTGAAAATCTATTCATTTAAATAAAATTATTTCCTATATATTAAAAAAGGGCA